TAATATTTTTTATTTTTATTTTTTTTAAATAGTTTTAGTTAACTATAATAATCCTGATTTGCAGTGCATCATGGGAGTTAGCGGCGACTGCTCGGCTTTTTTGCTGGGTTCTCTCATCGTCTCTCATTTGTGAATTATGCGCATTGCAGTTCATTTCTAGGTATTTAGGAATTAAACATTCTATGCTATTGTTAAAAATCCGTTTCTCCAAGGAAAAAAAAAAGAATAAGTTTTTCACTTCCAGAACATGACTGTTGCACTCTATGCAGACTTTTAAGCCAGTGGTATTGTAACTATATCATCTCTCTGTTGGTCTATCGGTTTGCAGATCTTCTACTTCTTGTTCCTCGACCGCTCGAACACACGACTGACCCCAGACCTGTGTGCAGCAGAATTTCATTTTGACCGTGAATTCCCTCTTGAGTGGTTTGTGTTCAGCTATAGCCAGATGTATATAAGATAATGGGCTCTTGGAATATAGGAAGTGATGTCAGTGGTGCAGCAGGCCAAGCCTAAACGACTTATTATTTTAAGTGTTCAGTTGGGGTTTGCAGAGGAAAAAGCAGCGGTGAAACTTTTACAGCCGTTTTGGGGTAATGTGAGTTGAGGCCCTTAAAAAGCGGACCGGCCATTTGATGAGACGGCGGCTGCGGTCGGGGCCACCTGCTCTGCGCACAGCACTGTTGTTTGCGAGGCACGATGCCTGCGAAATAAATGTTTACTCGCAACATTAAGGGAAATCGGCACTCAAAACAAACCGGTCGCAGCCTGAGCGTCTGCAGGCCAAGGCTTGAGTCATCTGCGATCGGGCGCCGCGCGAGTGTGACCAGGCCGAGCGGATCAGGAATCGTGTGGAAAACATGAGCTCATACAGGATGGGATGACACTCGGAATCACTGGACACAGACGGGACACGCCAATCCACACTGAGTGATGGGGTACCTTAGCATATGTGAGGCCTCTTTTAGATTTACACACTGCAAAATCATTTCTTTCTCACTGTTTTTGTCTTGATTTTCAGTAAAAGTATCTTAAATGCCCATAAAATGAAGCAAAATTGCTTGTGATGTTAAGTTTCTTGTGTTTAATTAAGTGTATTTTTCTTCAAACATTGACAAATTGGGTTGTCTTGTAAATGTGGAGTATATAAGCCATTTTTTGATTTGCTTAAAACAAGAAAAATCAATATGGAAAAACATGTTCAATGTCACCAATTTTCAAAACATTAATTACAAAATATTGAATGAATGGTTTGAATTAACAGCTTTATAACTTGAATAACTTTATTTTATAATTTATTTTATTTTTGATTTATAATTTATACTTACAAAAATATTATATAGAAAAATATACTATAATATATTAATATACCTTTTATTTTTTAAATATTTATATTTATTTATAATTATTATTATATAGTTATAAGAATACATTTATTTACAAAAAATATATATAAAATACAATATTCTATAATAAATAAATATAACAAATACAATATAATGTACTTATATGCTATGCTATTTTGTATCACTGAGATAATGTAGTTTTCAATTTTTGTATTTTCATTTTTCGTTTTAATTTCTATATTTGTTGTGTTTATATGTTTATAGGTATTATTCATTTTTATTGCCACTGTAGTAGCTAAGTTATTTTAGTACATAAAGATACTTAATGAAAATGAGAAATCATTTTTATGTTTTATTTTATTTGAGTTAATGTTTATTTTATTTCAAGTACCATTTTTATGATTTATTAAATTTTTTGTGGTTTTAGTTAACTATAATAACCATTACATATATTTAATAATTATTAAACTATACTAAGTATAAACAAATGGATGCATTGCCGTCTCAAGTGAATGTATCTTTCTTAAAGGATGTTTAATAATGGAAAACAAGATACAGATGAAGATGATTTTTTGCAGTGTAATGTTTTTGCAGTACAAACATGTGATCTCATCTTTTATTTATGATTGTGATGATGATGATGTTGATGTAATGGGCCGCCCTTTCCCACCATCGGCACAGATGTTTCCAGACTTTATCGAGTTTGTCAAATTTTTTTAGCACTTTAAATGTGTCCTCAGCATCATTATCGTCACCGGTTGTGCTGACTGTGGCTTTTGGTTATGTAAGAGTTTGCAATGGCTTTCTGTGTTGTAAACAGTGTCGTTATCTGTTAAATGGACCATTTACACACCGCCACTAGCATCGCTGTTACTGTACATATTCCAGCTACTCACACAAACATGCTGGTCCATAACGTTAGTCTAGCGCCAGTTATGCACTGTCGCAAAACCTCCTGTTATAATGCATAAACTGCTAAATAAAACTCTTACCTACATCTTTTCAGCTCTTTGTTGTTTAAGATAAGAGAACTCGTGAGTGTGCACGCTACAGAACTCCAGTGTTTTTAGTGCCGACTAATCTAATCGCATCTGATTGCCCATTCATAAGCACAACAGAAACGTGTGATTGGTTATAATGCTCAGCGTTGCAAAAAAAAAAAAAAAGTGCGCAAACAGCAACCCGATGCAATCTAAAGCCATGAATTGACACTTTAAATTCATTTTCACCTTTCACTTTAATCGTGACAACAGGAATAGATTTAGATAAATTGTGCAGCAGCATTTTTTGCCCCATTACCTTGAATTTGTGTGGCATTTTTGTTCATTTTGATGGCATTTTTGTGCCACAAGCCAGCATTAGTTTCTGAGCCTGCTTGCAGACTTATGATATTATGATTTGAACTGATTGTAGACACTTTAAACAAGTAGTACTTTAGTTTACCAATGTGTTTTCTGATTCCTTTCTTATTCAATGTGTTGTTGTGGTTGATTCATCGCATATTTGTGACCCTGGAGCACAAAAGCAGTCTTAAGTCGCTGGGGTATATTTGTAGCGATAGCCAAAAATACATTGTATGGGTCAAAATTATCGATTTTTTTTAAAGGTGACATATCATGAAAATCTGACTTTTCCAGGTTTTAAGTGCTATAATCAGGTCCCCGGTGCATCTACTAACCAAGGAAACGTGAAAAAGATGAACCCAGTAACTTTGTTTAGGTAAGCCTTTTTCTGCAAGCGTCTGAGAAAACGAGCGCGTCTGATTTTGCTCC